AGTATGGTGAAAAGGCAGAAGTCTAGTGAGAATAAATATACACTTAGGAATATCTAAAAATCTTAGTTCCCAAAGGAGGTGATTTTTTTGCTTCATTTTCATTTATAGTAAGGTACCCATTGCAGCAGTAGAAAGGGAGCTCAAAAATTAAGGKTTTCATTAAAAATGTGTTAAATTGAGAAAACAGATTTGCTTTTTCCCAGTCTAYACAAAATACTCTTTGATCACACTATAAAAACAAAAAAGACATGTATACTACTAAAAGCTCCATGATTATAAGGGATTCTTCAAACATATGSACCTTAAACCTTTTTTGACATGAAAAGTCAGGGTTCATGACCTGTACTGTCTGCTGGAAGGAAAAAAAAAATCAGCTGCATGCTGCCTTCTTAGAAATCTTAAATATGTCAGCATGTCTTGGCTGCTTTCCCTCCTGCATGATCCATACAACTGTCTATGGTGGAAATAAATTATTATTCTATTCTCAAAGTATCACTGTGTTTAAATTAATTTAATACACATTGTCTCAATCAGAAGCAGGAAAAACACACTGGAGACAGAATTCTAATCCCAATRAAATTAAACAAAGGTTTTGGCACTGACCTGTGAGCAGACAGAACTTCACCACAGTATTTATTTCATCTCAAACATGTATTTGYATTCAAAATTTAGGCCACTACTGTGTAGAGCATCAGAATGGATATTTTGGATTACAGAGCTGGGCCTAACAATGTATKTAGTTTGTTTTGCATTTTACATGTGGTGAAGTGCTAACAATGCCTAATAATGCCTTAGAAATACTCTGGGAAACTGCATGGAAATGCAGGGGAAAACGAACCCATTATCTGATAAGATCTCTTCAAAATTATTTTCAGACTGGGCATGAAAAATCTGCACTCTACTTCAGCTCTTATATGGCCTTACTAACCAGCACAAAATATTCTGGTCTCACCTAAACCAACAGGATCAAACAGACTTCCTGAAATACATTAAGACTGTGGATCATAAACCCCCATATATGTTAGATGAGACCATCTCATTGTGAGTTCTGTAAATTATAAGCAGACTAGACAGAAACACAAGAAGATCCCTATAAGGCTGACAAGTCACGTAGCACTAGCTCCTTYATTATTCCCAGAGGCTACATACTGTTCAAAACCAAATAAAAAGTGATCTAAATGATTTATAAATAGTGTGTTTGCCACAGAGCTGTTATGTAACTGGGTGTTAGAATATAGATGATAAAAAATAGTTACAAAATGCAGTCAGCATACTGATACAGTTTAAGAAACAAAGATTGCATGTAGGAAATTAAAAAGCAACTGAAAGGGTGAAATTCTTTTGAGGAAATAATACATTATTTTAAACAATAAAGACTAAGTGTTCAGATTAAGGAAAAACTGCTACAGCGCTCTAACCCTTCTCCCCCCCCCAAAAAACAAAAAAGAAGTTAGCATGGTTTAAGAGCACAATAGAGGAGACTCAGAAAGACAAATAAAACTTTACTGCAAGGACACAGTAATTAAACTATCTCAAGACAAATAAAGGAAGTTATGAGAGAAGTCTCCACAAATGGTATGGAAAAGATGATGAGGGAACAATAACACAGGAACAAACTAACTCTTAATAAAATGGTAAGGAACCAACTTTAAAATTAACGGAATAAATATTTTTTCAAGAAATGCCTGGTTGTGGAACCAAGTGCTATAAGATGCTATGGGTCAAAAACTATTAATAACTTCAAAACAGGATAAACAACTACTAACTATACCTATTATGGATAATGGCCACTATGTGATCTGCATCTGGAATATAGGAAGTGTGTGAGAAAGATCACCCTACATTTACCCCATTTCTTTCTATAAATAGCTTTCTACTGGGCACTGTTAAAGATCCAGGAAAGAAGGATTTGACAGTCCTGTGAAATACTTTCTGTCTCCAAAACTCATGTATTAAAGCACCATACCAATTCTAGCACGTGCTGTTAGTACCAATGTTCATTAATTTACATCAAAATATCCATTATGGGAGCAGTTAGAGGAAAGTCAATTCCCACTTGGGAWTGGGAACATTTAAATATAGGCTGGAATGAGAGAGACCCAGGGTTAACTTAAACCTCCTACACAGCATATGGGCACTGCAGGGAACACAAAGGCCTGACCTCAGCTACACYTTTGGCAAGATTCCTCACCCCATAGAGAGCTCAGGTTAGGACACAACATATAAAACTTGTTCCTCAGTTTTCCCATTAATAAAATAGGAATACTAATGCAGGCTGTATAAATTTTGTTGTTGTTGTTGTATGTTTTGGGGTTTGGAGTTTTGACACCTTTTTTTGGTTTTTTGTGTTAAAGAATGAATTTCATGGTAAAAATAAAGAAAGTTAAAAATAAGCTTRTATGAGAACATACAAAATATTCCAGGCTTTGGTGTATAACGAATGCAAGAAGCATTACAAGGAGAATAATATTCTGTTTTCATTTTACTTGAAATAATGGATTTCATTCTACAATGGGAAGACTTTAATAAAAGTATCAACAAATTAGTATTAGATTTTTTTTTAAATAAAGATGTAACTTTAGCTATTAAAAAGTCCAAATAATTTCTCTTACTGTTATTTTTGGACAAAACTATAAACTAAATTCAGGCTTAATTCACAACCCTTTTGTTTTCAGATGGAAATTGGATTTCCTGAGAACAGACTATTCATCCAAAATACCTGGGCCAGAATTTGCAATACATCCCTACTGCACAAAGACACTGTGAGACAAAGTTAAATAACACTTGCAAGAGGCAGATGATTTATAAATCACTGTAAGAGAGAAAATAAGCCCTGGTATTGTGAGCCAACTATTCTTTCAAAAGCAAGTGGAGATTAAAATATTCGATGGTGTTTGTACAAAGAACAGCTTGAACTTTGCCAGTTCAGAGCTGGCTGTACTCATTAGCACAGGAATGCCTTCAGGCTGCTTTGCATGGAAGGTATAACTTAGAACTGGRCTTCTCTGGAGCTCTGAAGGACATATGAAGAGTCATCTTCCAAAAAAAAAAAAAAAAAATTTTAAATCTTGAGGAGATCCTGGGTGCAGGAGGGTGACCATACCCATAGTGGGAGGGCTGGCAGCCATACTGCAGTGCAGAGTGCATTATTCTACTTCCTTTTTTTTGAGAGGATTCTCTGCAGAGCCAAGTTAATCTAGGCAAATAGCAACTTGAAGCAGTAGTTATTGTAGCCATTACCCTCAAGATTACCGAAAGATGACTGCGCAAGATAACTACAAATGATTATAAACAAACATTTGAAGCATGACAGGCTCTTCCTAGGCTGGCCTACTGTACGTCAAGAAGCCAAGTAAGGCTTAATTCTGGCAGYAAATTCCAGCAATAGGTCATTCCTCAAAATCTTAATGAGAACATTTTGACTATTTGCTGGCAAGGGTAAAAATAAGAACATGCTGTTCAAAAAGGAAGGGAAAGAGCAAACTGAACAAAAATGGAACTGCCTATTTCCTATCTGGGTTCTGCAGTGATGTAAATATATTTCATTAACGTCTCATTGCTGAAAAGAAAGTGATACCACACAAAGTTCAAAATGAAAAGTCTCCTTATATTTAATGATATCACCTCATCATTCATTCAGATATGGCTTATAAAATAGGCAGAAAGAAAGGAAAATGTGGAAATGGAAAGCATCRGTGGGAAGGAAACAACAAAGCAGACCTGCAGCTCTAGGGTTCCATGAAATGAAGACACTTCTATTCTAGAATATGTTCCTTGCATAGGACATTTTCTCTTAGCAATGTTTAGAGGCGTTGACAGTTAACAAACTTCCTCTAATTTTCAACCTAAATTTGTTCATACCCGTCTTAGAATAATTTCTCAATGAATTAAAAAAAAAAAAAAAAATTCAAACACGCTTCCTTTTCTGTCACATTTGCTTCAATTTGTATATTCAAACACTATAAGGTCTTTTATACTTCTGCTGGCCAGACTAAACAATTCAAGTCCTTTTAGTYTCTTGCCACCCCTCTCTTTTGGTAGGGATTTAAAATATTTTTTACAACTCTTCTAAGTTCAATKTCTTGCATGTGGATTTCCAGATCTGTTCTGTTTTTAAGGTCTCACCAGCCACATKTACAACACATTATCTGTACAAGATGTACAGGGCTGGATTTATTTGACACTGGATTCACATTTTCCACAGTAGCATCAAATCAGTGACTCACAGCCACTCTGTCTTTGGCTTACACACCCACCTCTTTCAAMTTCTCTCATCTTCCATTTGACAAGCTCTGAGCTTTTATCAGGAAGCTTTTCCCATTAGGCTCTAACACACAACCTCACACTTTATATTATTCTATTGTATCCCGTTTTATTTCTCTACTACTCAAGGTCATCCAATTACTCTGATATGACATCATCCGACAGGGACTGTTTCTCAACTTTGTGACATCAACAGAGCTCATTAGCAAGTTCCAGTTTTTGTGCCAAGATCACTWATGAAAAAATTAAACAATATGAGTATCAATGTCAATTTTGGACAGACCTCTAACAACTTATTCTTGCCATTAACTGTAACATGTTGCAGCTTTTCTCTGGGATACTTCTTTGCCCATATGACACTTAGTTTTAAAATTCCTCTTTTCTTGAGTGTAACAAATCTGTTTGTCTAGAAAAGCAGTTACTGTATCACAGAAAGAAAACAGGGAAGTCTGGCGTGGTCCGCCTATTGCAAATAAAAAGTTTTATCCTCTTTTCTTCCACTTTTTTTTTTTCCTTAGGAAGTCACCACATACTTTAAATACTGTGTTTTAACCCTGTTACATTTTGCTTAGGTATAGACTGAGGTGCATGAGGAGGGGACTCAAATCACGTRTTTTAAATCAAATAATGCTCAGTTTCTCGTCCAGAAGAAAATGCAAAACATTTTTTGTGTTCCATTATCCGAATAGTAACTTTTAATAAGGCAGAATATGTATTATGTAAAGTTAGCCAATGTATTCCTTCTAATTTTATACTCACTAAATTGCTCTCTTTTGTTTTCATTTTACTTCATATTGGGTTTTACCCTGAAAATTCAATTCAGCCACAGAAGTTGTCTGTATTAATCAGACCTCTCTTTCTTTTCTTTTCCTGTTGCAGACATCCATTCTTATTGGTTTACACCCTAGGAGGAAGCAAAAAATGAGACCTGAAAACTTGAAAGGATTGTTAAAGACTGATGCAACACAAACAAAGATCATAATAAAATCTTTATTTTTTAAGAGCACCCAGATGAGGACAGTTTCAAACAATTGTCTGATATCTACAGCATACATAGAATTTCCTTATACGTCTACTGTTTCAGCAACTAACTTTAAAAACAGAACAGCCTAAAATAGGAAAGGATTTCAATTGCATTGTTGTTCCACAGAAGTAGATTATTGGACTGGAAATTGGATTATCCAAGAGGAAAAATATTCATTTGCAAGACTTACACAACCCCCACCCTTTTCCTTGTTCCTAAAGAATGAACAAAATCAAGCACACAGAGACCTTGTTCCAGGCCCATTATCATCAAAAAGTCTGGAAAAGAATGCAAACCAATGCTTCTTTTTCTCAGCGTGAAATTCTAGATGACTTCAATGAAATTGCTYTTGCCACCCCATTGAACATTGTAGCCCTTGAAAGCCACCAGGAAAAATGTTATAGTCAGGTTAAGGTACAATGAGTAAGAGCAAAATACCTCGTGTTTATTTCTGCAGGAAGAAAACTTAAAAAAAGGTGGCTGTGCTCTATGAAGGTATATCTACACCTAACTGAGAGAAGGAGGAAAGAGAACAAACTTGAACAGAAATGCTAGGAAGTTTTTTTTTAACCTAGCTAAAATAAACCACCACTTAACACTCATTGCTTCTGAAGCTTCACTTGGAACTTTTAAGATGAGAAAAGCCAGTGATGCTTTTTTTTTCAGCCAAGRACCATTTTCTCCTTCTTTCATTCATGTCTTCTTATGTCCTTAATTTACATGTATAAATTTTAGACTCTRTGCAGGATGTGGGAATGAGATCAATCGGATGAGTAAGCTTCATGTGACTGCTTGCTCCAGACTACATGAGGAAAACACTGCTAGAGTGTGTTTAAAAGGAAAGGTTGTGGGAATAGGTGCTCATGGTAGATTTGAGCACGGGGACAGAGTTAGACAAAGTTCATCACAAGATAACACATCCTCATGCAGCTTACTGCAAGCTGAAGACTTATTTTTCACTTSTTCTGCCCTTGTTCTGGATCTTTTYGTGGCAATACAGCTGAGCATRCAACCTAGGGAACCTGGGCTAAAGTGTTGTTAGGGCTTCCCTTCWGAACCCACAGCAAATGCATATGATTGCTATTTTATGTCATAAAKAATAAAAATAGTATTTACCTGTTCCACCTTTATGGCTTTCCTTCCTACCAGGGTGTTTTCCTTAACTCTTGCAGAACTATGCAGGGCACTGAGCCAATCCCTCAGTGGAAAAGCACTGCTCCTGAAGACAACAATGGCAAGAACATCTTGGAATTGGAAAGATTCTTTTCTCCTCTCCAGGCAGAACTGTTTTAACATATAATCTGACAATACCTAAAAGCCTTGGAGAACAGGGAAAAAATCACATATTCTTAAGTAACTCTTACCTTACTTAATGAAACCTCATACTGCTAGTCTATGCWGAACAGGGCCCAGTGTCCCTGGTATCTTTCAAACTACATTTTCTTCTAGAACAATGATCCTCTTTATCCTTTTTTCTCCTGTGAAGGGTAGCAAGGCCTCAAACACTCTCTTCAGAGGTCAGTAATACTTCACAAAAACATGATGGCAGTTCCCATCCACTAGAATTAAAGATGTTTTTCAATTAAAATGGCATTATCTTGTAAGTGCATTAAAGTCAATGCTAAATGGTACTTGATCACATTAAAATTGTTTATGATAGGCCAGTAAACCAGACTGGACTCTAAYTGGCAGTGTAATGTGTAATGCTGAATCAAATGCAGTGAAAATACTTCAAAAAAATAATTCTGCATTGGCTTGTGGAATTTTCTGTCTCAGAGCCTACRTGTAATTTGCTAATTTACTTTTTGCAAAATACTCCAGTAAGTAYAGACACAGTTCCTATTAAGTACACAGAGTTGATTTCACATGATTAACACCCCATGAGGAGGAAGAAAGATCCATGTAGAAGACAAGAGCAACAATGACAAAATCAATGACTCAATAAAAGCTTGCTTAACTCCTTAAAAAAAAAATAGAAACCACAAACTTTAATGTTCAACCCCTCCAAGAAGAATTAGAGCAGACATATTTTTTATTAAACATTTGAAGAGGATAAGCAATTGATTGAAAAGGTTGTTGTAAACATGTTCCAAGCATTAAAAAGAAACATGAAAGAAATAAATAAGTGTTCTAGTACAACTACTAGTATGAGAATGTTCATACAAATATGCATAATAAAAAAAAAATAAATAACCATGGAACAGAAAAAAAATGTAACACAAAACCAAACCCTTGTGTGCAGCTATGAAACATGAAGTTGCAGTTCATTCATTGAGKAAAATGATGTATGATTCATGCAGCACTGAGAAAAAATATATACTGCAACTACTTATAAACATTTAAATGTCTCCTAACTACGTTAAGATTTTTCTTTCAGCACGTAACTATCCACAAATGTGTTTCAACCTGGAATGGACATGTGCAAAACCCCAGGGCTTTGGATGTGCTTAAGGATCTGGATATGTTCTGCCTCCATTCTCTTCCAGCTTGGTGTTTTGTGTCACACTCTGAACCCACTTCCTTCAAGCCCTCTCCTCCAACTTTAACATCTCTTCATCTCCTGCTCAACTCTCCAGGGTAACAATCCAGGTTACTAACCTTACCAAAGTGTACTTATAAACCCACATGAATGTTCTTCTGCATCATGCCTAGCACATATCCTGTATTGCCACAAACAGCAGCAGGAAATCATTTGCCCTGGTAACATTGTTTTGTATGTGCACCATTTATTCTAATTTTAAAATTCTTCTGCTACCTCATTTAGGGCTTCCTGTGCCGCACCTGTGTCATTCTCTGCCTGGAACAGCGTGTGGAAGACTCTGTAAAGATTCACTTCTAGAGAATCTTAAAATATACTGTAATTAAAGCTCACAGACCATACTTATTCTGAGGAAAAAAAAAGGAACAGAAGAAACCGATATAAATCCTAAGGGACTTCTAAAGATTAGTGGTGAAAAACAAATCCGTGCTGAAGACAGGCCAGAGGCCAACAAGAAAAGCAGAGTTCAGGGAGAAGCAAAAATATCAAAATGAGGTCATAATCAGAATGAGGTCATAATCCCMCTTTGGGACACACAGATGCCTTTGCTTGACTGGCTTTGCAAAGAAGTAATGCAGGGATCAAGGACTGAACTGACACCACCCGAAACAATCAGCAGAATGCATTTTGTAAGTGGGCAATAACTAGATGAACTAACACAAAATTAGATTTTTAATTGTCATGTTCACACACTGACTTTTAACATGTTTTTACCCTCAAATTTCTAGTGAGAATCTGTCAATAAACAGCTAAGAAAGAACTATACAAGAAAAAAACCCTGAGAATGCTTATTGTGCCAACATACCGTATGAATCTTAGAACAATAAATCAGTTATTCAATTCCCCCCCCCCAAAAAAAATTACAAATTCTAAGAAAATTTTAAGACAATGAGAGCAAATATGGTATCTGTTGAAAAATAAAAAGCATATATACGTCAGTTACTGGCTACAACATCTTAATGCTTCAAGAAAAAACATTTTATACAAATCCTGTATTAAGTAACTCTAATTTGTGAACCTAAGCACACAAATGACCACTGAAAAACGTGGTTATCTGTCTATCTATGYAAGACAAAGGTCTGGAAAATGTAATGAAAATCTTGCCAAAGAATCATGAAAACAAAAAGTCGGTGAAAAACTTTGGAGAGCGGACCTGCTAAAATTGCCTTGCTAGTGGGCATTTTACACTAGCAATGCAAAAGAAACAGTAGCAACAGGTAATCTGATGAAACTGTATCTATGTTCAATAAAAATRGATACAATAACAACAAAATGTAGTATTTAAGGCAGAGAGCCAGTTTTATGCAGTGCCTTGTATGCTACACAGTAATTTTGCACTCTGGATGACTTCAAATAGATGCAGGAAGGGAACCTGATAGGGAAATAATTTAATTTACTGTTACAGAAGATGTTGTTGGAAAACTGATCATGCTCTTAGGCACAGAAGCACTTTTCCATTCCTAGAAGACCATCAAAAATTCAACTGGAAAATAAATAATACAAGTTGTATCCATCAGCATGTGCCAACGATTGATGTTGGGTGTGGTAGCACCTAAAGTATCATAGCTAATCTAGAAACGAAATGTGTTACTCAAATCTACATGTTTGTCCAGGAAAATGATCATAATAGTGGAATATAAAAGGTACTTGAGCAACCAGAAATACGAGCATTCGTGGATATGGAACTGCTATCTCAAATAACAAAAGGAAACACCCCTCCCTGGCCAAAATAATAGACCSGATAAAAATCGGAGGGAGCACGATTTTGGGGCAGTGACTCCGGGGCAGGTGACAGATAAAATAAKAATAGTATAGGATCTTTCCGGGCCTCATGGAAGTCAAAGGCGATTCTGAGGTGGATGTACGCTTGTGTGGGGTTTGGCTCCCAAGCCACGCTCTGCTATTCCATGGGCATCTCAAGGAAAGCCAACGTGCACAGCCAGATATCCTGGAATGAGAACTGGAAAACAATTGCTGGAAAAAACAAGCGCCCCGGCGCTCATTTTAACGCGTTGTTAACTCCAAACCTGAGTACCTGAGGGGCGCCCACTGCACCCTTTAAACCCTGGACGGCTGTGCCCTCGAACAGCGCCCAGGCAGGGAGGGAGGAGCGGGGTTGTGACAGCCCCTTACCTCGCCACGGTGCCCCCCGCAATTTCGGTAGGACGCGGGCACCGAAGCCCCGCTCCCGATCCCGATCCCGCTCCCGCTCCCGCCCCATCGCCTCAGGCGCCATCGCGGCCCCTCAGGCGCCCCCCGGGCCTCGCGCACCTTCCCGCGCGCCCACCGCGCACGCGCGCCGGCCGAGCGCGCGGCCACGCTCGGATCGCTCGTGCTCGGCCCCCTCCGTCCCTCCCTCCCCGGGCTCGGGAATATCCGGGATACCGCTCTGCCGGAGCGGCCCGGCTGCCSCCACACTGCGCAGGCGCGGCGGCGCCCGGCCGGGGAGGGGAGCGCGAAGGAGGAGCGGGAAGCGGGGGAAGCAAAAGTTGCCGTGAGGGCGGGGCCGCGCCCGGAGTCGTCGCCGGGAGGGGGCGGGAGAGGAGCTGCGTGAGGAGCCGCCGGTGAGCCGGGGGTCCGCAGGGAGCGAGGCGGGAGCGGGGTAGGGGCTGAGCAAAGGGGGTAAACCGCAGCGGGCAGAGGTCGGCTCGGACCGGGGGTTGGACGCGGTTGTGGCCGCGGTGCCGGCGAGGGAGGCGGCCGCGGTACCGAGGTGAGGACGGAACGCGGCGTGCCGGGCGACGGGACCGCCGCCTCCTCGCGGCCGGGGTTAAATCCCTGCCGGGGCTGCGTGGGTGGGGGTCAGCGACAGCTCCGGGGCCGCGGCCGGCGCTGTCCCCGCGCGTTGTGTAAGCGGAGGAGCCGCGGCGCCGAGTTGGAGCGGGGACCCTGCGAGCGGCGGTGCGCGGTTAATGTCCAACGCGGCGATCACATGCCCACCAGCGAGTTCTTCAGGAGTGTTTCCAGAGGCTGGCTGGAACAGGAAATGCCAGTACAGGTAGTGTTGGTGCTGTTTGAAATTTAATCAGTTTGCAGCGTTTTGGAGGCAGAGTTGTTTGCTCTGTGTTCGTACAGATGGAGTTTCAGAGGCATGTGGGCAGATGTATGTAAATGCATGCAAATCACCTGCTTAGCATCGGGTCTAAGTTTACYTATATCACTTACTTTGATTTTCTATGCAAATATTTTAAAATCAGCTTTTCAGAGGATCCRTGACATTTTCTCTCTGTGTATTTTTCCCTTCCCAGAATAAGTGTGAGTTTCACGTATTTCTGCTTAGTGCTTTATTTTACTCATGCAACCTCTACCAAAAACACCAAACATCAAACCACTTAAACTTGCTTACCTTTGAAGCAATTAGGATGATTTCGAGACCAACAACTTAATCGAGCAAACAGTACTGTGCCCGATTGAAGATGCAGTATCCCCTTCAACCCCAAGGCAATAGAAAATGCCTTGACTGATTTTATGATTACCTGGTCTTTTCTTGAAGAATGAAAGGGTGTTTTTTTGGTGTCAAAGTAGTGAGACCTCATGTTATAATCTGATTATAAATTAGCCCTGTCAAATGGTGAATAATCCTTTCTTCCTCTAACAAATTGTTGCAAAGTAAGAGGTACTTACTGGTTATTTTTTCAAGTGTCGAATTACTTGTATAAAAAGTTATTATTCTTGAGCAGTGAGATGTTGACAGTAAAAATACAAAAAATATGCACTTGACTTTCATATCAAGCCTTGATAGTGCAGAATCCTTTTTGGCCATACAGTGTGCATGATGTGCTACTGACAAAATTATTTGGGTGTGAGACGCAGAGGGAATCAGGGTATTGGCACTACCATGTGCTTTGGTTATGCTGCTTTCCAAGATATTGGTAGCAGCATYWTGTTGTTTTTCCTTGRTTAATGCCTCTTGGTAGAGTAAAAYAGTTTAGTCACTTGGGATGCCGTGATGTGAGCAAAACCCATTCACAGAATTTTTCTGAAACCTCACAGTTTAAGCAGAAACAAGTTGGAGTTTGATGGGRCCAGGTTAAATGATGATGGGTTGAGGCTGGGTCAGGGTTTTAACTGTGCAGCCTGAGTGAAATATTTGTTGTAAGGTTTGTTCAGCATTTGTTCATGAAGAAATACATGAAGTATAGTGATTCAGACATTCAAAGATTTTTTTTTGTTTTGTTTTTTTTTCAAGCCTATAAAATATGTGTGCATTTAAAGATGATGCTCACATTACCATTCCTTATAACTCAGTTATGTCATTTTTTCCTGATGACTTAAGAAATCAGCAAACTTTTCCAGAAGGGGCCGAATTTGGTATTTTGCACTTCTGTTAATGATCAAGCAACTGAAAAGATCCTACAACTGAAAGACAAAGGCAATTAATCTGGGATAAAAAGGCAAGTGTGAAAATTATCACTGCAAAGATACATTCTATCTTTCTGAGGCTCAGGAAGAGGTACATTGAATAAATCATATGTAAAGCAGTAGGAAGATGGGGAAACAAAAATCTTCTCAGTAGTGTCTGTGTGATGATTCACTGTAAATGCTGGCCCATGTCATGGGCTGGGAATTTGTCTTCTCCAAAAACTTTACTCAGAGTTCCCATTGTTGCTATTTCTWAAGTCGTTTTCTGGTTGTAACTGAYGAGGAAGGCTGAGCTGTGAACCTGTTGTTTTGGTTTTGATGCAAACAGGAAAGTTTTTATTGGAACAGCTTAAAGTAAAAAATTGTATACTTGTACAAAAGCCATCTGGGATAGCATCTACGCTTCTGGTTTTCCATCCTGGAAGGATACAGCAAAGTGTGACGTGCAGGAGCAGTGGTTTGGTTTATGAGGAACAGCTAAATAGGCAAGGGCTCAAGGAGAGACAATAGAGATCGTGAAAACAGAACAAGTCTGGGTTTGGAATCTTTAGGGATTGTTTGGAAGAATTTCTACAGGAGATACCATCAAATACTCCTTTGGTCCTTTAGGAACTTTTTGAGTCAGTGACCAGAGGAGAAAGAATGTGTCAGACCAGTAAGAGCTAGTGGTAATATCCTGGTATTGGTCTTGTGGTGTTCTTGTTTCTTCTGATGTGTGTTGCAAGTAAGTGCTATTAATGAAGTTTTTCTCCCTCTCTGATGTTTAAAATAGTGAGAATTTGCATTCCTGTAAACATATTTCTGTGACAACTATTGAAGTGAATACTATAATTTTCCAAAACAATGATTGGTGGCTACTAAAAGTATTCCATGTATCTTATGGTGCATAAGGTCTGTTGACAAATACATTTAAGAAGGGGCTAAAGGTAGAAGGGGACTGCAGGGACCAGATAAAATGTGATTCAGCCTTATTGAGGTGGGTGTAAGAGATGATTCCTTTCAAATTTTGATCTTTTTCTACATTTTTAAAGCAGCTGTGCTGTTTATTTCTTTTTTCAAATGTAGGGAAAGATCACTCAAACCTCACACACTGTCACAATATAAATGAGATTTTTGTGCCATTGACAAAATGTGGCAATTTTAAATGAAAACGTTTTGAGCTGAGGAAAACACTCAAATTCTTGCAGCTGCAAATTGTTGAATTTTTGTTGATTTTTTGTTGAATTTAATTCTGTTAAGGAGAAGACAATAACCCCAGTCCTAATAATGTTGGCTCATTGCAGAGAGCTTTAGTGGATTCCCATCACAGCTTTATTCCGTCACAATATATTTCAGCACTTTTCCTTCACAACTCTTCTTGTCTTGTGTCTAAATTCCTAAGTTACATCAGTTTAGGAACTGATTTCCCAGAGTTGTCAGACTGTTGGGTGGGGTTTTCAGGCTCAGCGCAGAGGCATGAACTGCAAGCAGAAGCAAAAATTTGTGTGGCTTAAAAGCAACCCCAGCACTGGGCAGGAGAAAKGTTTGCCATTAGTAATTTGTGCAAGACACTGAGAACAGTTGCAAAGTGAAGCAAAGGAGATGTAAATAASTATTCTTCAGCCAAATTTCAGAGACTGAAGCTGTCAACAACTTTTGAACTTTATTGGCAGGTTTCCACTCAATTTGAGAGAATGAATACAAGCCTCAAAGATGATTATGTACTTAGAAAGTGCATGAAAAGAGGCAGCTGGCTGGAAGAGAGAGACCATGAAAGATGATGTGAGTTGGCTTATGCCCCAACTGGGGAGAAAACTGCAAGAACTGAGCTATGASACAGAAAATTATCAGGAGCGCAGGCACTGGTAGTTCCAGCGATCACAGAGCCAACTGTTTATCTCACCACTTTTATCTCAAAGGATATCAGAGATGCTTAAACCCAAATGTGCTTGCAGAAAGTGATTGTTTAGGCAAAATATCAGCTGCACTGATTTCTAAGCTTCTTTAGTGGCACTGCTTCTTAACAGTGAGGAGTTGTGCMAGCCACAGTTACGTGCTGGGGTGTACCAAGCAAGCAGGTGATAACGTGCAGTTCTGCTGACAAGTGGATTTGTTCTTCTGGCAGCTACAAAGGCAAGTGCCAGAAATTTTTGACAGGCTTGTGTTTTGTCCCGTAAGGCTGCACAAGTAAGGGTAGCCAGATGAGGTGACTGCGGGCTGAAGAACAGTGACTAAAGTTGGGCAAGGTGGAAGAAGTTAGACTGGTTGGTTTGAGGGCTTTTAGCCCTTGTTTARTGTCTTTGGTTGAGAACAGTTGACCAAAATCCACTCCTGTAGTCTGARGCCATGTACCTTAGTATTTGATGCAGTGAAGAAAAAAGGTGCAGTGGAACTTCTACATATGAAAACTGTTCAATGAATGTGTTCWGCAATTTATTAGAATAAGATTGTGTGATAGATGGAATTATTTGTACTCAYAACTTTGTGGAGGTGAAATTAAACAGGAAGTATTTTAATGCAGTGGGACAGAACTGTAGAGCTAATCCAGAAACATTTTTTTATTAAATTCTTGTAGTGAATCATTATAACTTTTCCTGAAACCCACCTGAACAGCTAAATGTTTGGTGCATGCAGTGTTAGTTCTAGGGCATCCCTGAAATGCAAGAGAAAATTACTTCCTGCAAGTTCTTAGTAAATGAATGCTCTTTGTCATTATCTTAAATTGTTCCGGATGAACTCTTGTTTCCAAAACAGCGTGTTCGTTTCTAGTAAGATCTGAAACTGATACACATTTCCAGCTACRTTTTCTTTTCCTTTTTTCTTTCTGCGTTTATTGAAGTGAACATACAGAAAACAAAATTGTTACATGATGTTCTGTCAAGGTCAGTTTCCTGTTAGGTTTCAGACTCCTTGCTCAGTGCTGCCACAAATCACACTTACTATCTCCAGTATTATTAAATCAAATTACTTACGGGTGAGATACAGTAACATCAGTAAACAAACAGAACCCAT